ACGCCTCACGGTTATATTCCGATTTCTTCTTTGACCTTTTTCTTTCTCTAATCGTATGTTTTATTCCCCATACTCTTGAGCAAAACTTCCACTTTCTCCAAATTAATTTACTTTTTCAAGCAAATTCGTTCTTGGCATAATCTAGCCATCATCCTGAGCTTTCAGGAGCATAAACATATAACAATAAATTTACATCCACTGATACCTAGCTCGTCAATGATATTACATCAGTTATAAGAACCTCACATTTTTATGTACCGCAAAAATCTGACTATTTGTTCAGGTTATTAGTTGCACACTGATCCTGATTTGGCGTTTTTTTTTCTTCATATATTTAGTGTGGAAGTATGTATGAACTTCTCTTTGTATATTGGGTTATATATAAGTTTTTCCTTCATGGCCTTTCTCTTTATCTTTTTGGCCCAAAAGAGATTCATAAATAAATCTATATATATAAAAATAGCTTTTCTTTCTTCTGGTGCTGCTACCTCAGCAGCCATCTCAGCAACTACCTGTACAATTATTTTTTTTTCAAACTTTTGGTTTGTCCGGTTTCTCTAATTACGGCAAATGATGAAACACTTTAAATAAATCAAATATCACACTACCATAAACTGAAATTAAACAAATCATATGAACGACAACAATCATGGAATCACCATCAAAAGAGAATTGCATAAACAGATTTTTCGACGAAAGTGATATTTTCCAGAAAAAAAAAACTCAACTCAGCTCAGCTTAACCATAAACGCTGGACTTTCTACCAATCCCAAAAAGGATCCATGAAATCCACGCCAAATTGGAGTCACCTACGACACACCCAAAAAACCAATTCCAAAGTTGAGAAACCGATCAGCTCCCCAAGATGATGACAAATAGAGGTATATCTAAGAAATCATGGGAGGGGTTAGACCGGCACCGATTCTGAAAAAAAACACCGCAAGAGTGGAGGATACCGAAATTAAACGTTACTGAATCACCCAAGGAAGAAAGAGAAGGAGGATGGAAAAAATGACTCAATTAGAGACCAAAGGAATGGATATGAACAAAAGGTTGGTCCGACCAAAATTTCAATCACTCTCTTTCAGTGGAAGCACCCTCTATCATTAAACCAAAATTCCAACAATAGAAGGGTTTTGCCAACATTTGAGAGAGCTATCAATTAATACCTACAATTATGAAGGGCTAAAAACGGACACGACTTTGTATAATCAAAATGGGATTTCATAAACATCGAGCGAACAAAGAAATATAGCAGAAAAATGAACCAATATAAAATAATACAAAAAATTACAGACTAAAAAAAAACTTTCACACTAATCATCTAAACCCGATTTCAATATAGACATATTGTACTTCCACTGACTCAAGATCTTATACAAAATATACTAACGGAGAAAGTGTTTTCACAATTACAAATTAAAAAAACAAAGAAACAAATACTTCAGAAACAAAAATAAATTAACAAGAATAAACATAACACTTCCATAACATAAACAAAAAATTATAAAAAAACAACTCCGAATAACACCTTCTATAAGAAACATAAGTCCCCAAGATATAAAACTATAAAAAAGGAAAAAACACATATATAATATAATAGCGAAGAATCATAATATAAAAACAATGGTAAACGTCCGCGCGTAGCGCGGATCACACAATACTATAAACTTAACCAACAAAAATAAGATTCATTAGCATCTTAGCATCTAAATTGTAATTTGAAAAAATGATAAATTATAAACTCAACCAACAAAAATGATTCGATCTGGCAAAGAAAAAGAAAAGCAAAAGGTCATTAAACACAAAAAAATCCCACATGCCCACAGATCATTCAAACAACACATCCCATCAAAACTTAAATATATGTAAGGGAATCACAGGTCATTTATACTCTCAATCATGTTGGTATATATTTGATTCTTCTTCTCTCTCTCTCTCTATATATATATATACATATAAACCCTTACACATCTTTCTTATTTTTTCAGATATTAAAATGAAAATTCCAAGGCTTTTGAGTATATATGTAGTGATGTGATGATGACAAGGAGAGGATTTATTCCATGAACACAAAATGGAGAAATACTTGAAGTTGGCGCAATCATTTGCATTTGTATGGGGATTCATCTTGCTGGTGGCTCTCGTGTGTTGCTGCATCAGCACCAAACCTGATCGGGAAAACGATGACGATGCTAGCTGTGCCGGCTGCGACGGAGGACATACTGCTTTTTAGTCTAGGTTTTAATCATCCTCTGTTTCCTTCTTTTGCTTTTGTTCTTTAGTCCTCTGGTTTTAGGGTGTTTTGGTAGATTTGCTGTACACACATTGACACATATCGTCATGGATTATCATCTTTTTTTGTCAATTGTCATAATTCGTTGGTTACGAACTTACGCATAACCATTTTTGTAATTTTCTTTTTTTAAATATAGGCCATGATTATTTCTTTACGTTTGCGTTTGTATGTTATAATGATTAGGAAACTATAAATAATACGAAAACACAAGTGAAAATGTAAACGCACAGAAAAAGCCGGTAGCCATAACGTTGGTTTGGCTTGCGATTCTGGTTAAATGAACCTTTTTTTTTTTTTTTTAATCCTTCAAGCTTCCCCTTCCAGAAACACTGTTTTAGCTAGTAATGAAAATAATTATGATTGTTGTCTCTTCCTTTATTCTCTCAGTTTCTACTTCATCCATTTTTGTAACTAGACCTCTCTACATGGTAAGTTTTTGGAATATATTTTGACCGTTAAATGAAATCCACCCAAAAAGGCTAGTAATGAAGAGGTTTCTTAGGTTAGTAGTAGCCTAAAAACACTTTTTTTTTTTGGTAAAAGGTTAAAATTTTATACAATTTTTCGATTTTTTACAGAATACAGAGATACAACAAAGAAAGAGGAGCAATCAAAACTACAGAAAATAACGAAAACGACAAAATTAAAACAGAAACGCAAAAGGGAATGGATCCGATTACAGAACATGAAAGTGTTTTTAGACTTGGTATTTAACTTTCATGCCTAAAAACACTTTTTAAACTCGGTAATTATAAATTGCTGTTATTATGAGCTCAGCAATTCAATAAACGAATTTACGTTCACCACTTCCCCTGGTCAATGAGTAGAAATCCAAATTACTTGAACAGGTGCTATACCGGATCCTCCGAATATGCTCCTCAAAATATGTCATCAGAAGCTAAATTTGCACAAATTTTTTCTTATAAAGCTTAGTCCAACTCCTGGTTTAGTGTTTAATTTTTTTTTTTTTGAAAATTGAGAGATACTAGTACTTAAAATATTGGGAGAATTAGTTTTATAATGCTAATTGAATTAGAATTTGTCTCCTTATGTTTTCTAAATAAAATTTGTCCCGTTAATATTTTATTTAAATTTAATCCAATTATACCTTTTAATTACGAATTAATATATTAATTTATTTTTAAAAATGTTTTATTAATAAAAAAAAAGAAAAAACAAATAGAAAAAACTTTCTACCAAGCGTAAAATAAACAAAAGGAGAAACCCAATATTCCATCTTCTTCACCGTGTCTCCATCTTCTCCAGTAAGAGCCACCTGCAAAAACAATTTCCTGTAAGTAAAAACTATTTGTTCTTCTTCTCCTCTGTCTGGTCGTATTCCTCACTTTTTTTTTCAGTATTCTCATTCAATTTTGATTCTAGGGTTTACAATTTCTCAATTGATTTGGGGTTTTGTTGATTTACAATTTTCTACTACATTGCATGATTCATATTTCGTTTCTAGCTGCATGCATGATTATAATTTCGCTCATAGCTGCATTCATATTTCGTTTCTAGCTGCATGTATGATCAATGTGAAAGAAAGAGAAGAGAACGATGGCAGCTAAAAAAGAAAAAAAAAACGTCAAAACTGATTAAAAAACGTTGAAAATTAAAAAAAAAAAGATTTTCGAAATATTTTAAATCTGGAAGTTAACTAATTTTCCTAGATTTTCTCAGATTTTGGTAGAAGATGTATTCTACGTTAATATAGAATGCAGTCTAACAGGTAGAAGATGCATTCTACGTTAATGTGGAATGAAGTCTAACAGGTAGAAGATGCATTCTACGTTAATGTAGAATGAAGTCTAACAGGTAGAAGAACCGTTCTACAACGTAGAACCTGGTCTAACAGGTAGAAGATGTATTCTACTAACATGTAGAATATAGTCTATCTAGTAAAAGTTATAATCTATCAATTGGTAGAATATATAAAGACCTATAGAAAACGACTTCTACAGGCTGGTAGAATATGTGAAGAACTATAGAAATGAGATTCTACGTGGATGTAGAACATAGAACATGCATTCTATCAAGCGTAGAACGAATTTTAATAATATAATAAAAATATTTTTTTCCATAAATGATAAACGAAAATATTTTTAATTCCTTTTTAGATATTTTCGAAATTTTTAAAATATAATTTCAAATTTATATTTAATTATAAATGTCATAACTGATTTAAAAGGGTAACTATGTCAAAAAGTTACAAAAAAATAGAAAACATTAAGGGGACAAATTCTAATTCAATCGACATTATAAAACCAATTCTCTCAAAAATATTTCTATTGCAATTTCTTGTAGTCACAAATTAGCTATTATGCAAGTCATGCAGAGCCGGTAAGTGTGGTTCTATGAAGCCACTTTTCTATCGGCCAAACTTGATTGAAAAATATAGGATTTTAACCCCAAAATATAATATTTGTAACAGCAAGAAAACCAAGTTCTTCCACAAACTCTAGAAACTAGTATGGGTTTTGGCTAGAGATTTCTAGGTTATAAATAATAGAAGAAAAATTGTTTGATATCCTTGATAATAACTGCTCTCTGTCATTTTACCAAAAAAAAAAAATAACTGCTCTCTGTCTATCCCTTAATTAAAAAAAAAAAATTTGAACCGGACGTCTTTCATTCCATACTGAGTTTTTTTTTTAAAAAAACACAATTCTCTTACACACACACACAAAGGAAAAATAAAAAAGCGTGGCAAAGGAATTTAGGCGAAATTACAAGGGAGAAGACGTAGACCATACAATACACAAAAATTATATCTCCAGTAAATCATCTCCCTCCTCGCTCTCTCCCTTGGCGTCAATGGCTTCCTTCAATTCGTTCCCCATTCCCAAACAGGTGTGCTTACTCGTTCTCTGTATATCTATCTATACACGCACCCTCCACTCTCGACCTGATTTTTTTTTTTTTTTTCGGATTATAGATTGCCGGTTCTTCTTCTTCTTCGTCTTCCTCTTCTTCTCGGCCACGTATCTTGGTGCGATCGAGTATGGCGTCGTCGATTGGCTCCACCAATAGTATGCTGGTAACGATTACATTTGCTCTCGATGATCCTCTCTGAGGTCCTTAAATTCTCAATCTTCATTTGCCACTGAAATGTGAAATTGAATTCTCGCGAACTTCCTTTGAATCAGGTCTTCGTACCTCCACACCCTTTGATTAAACATTGGCTCTCCCTTTTGCGATGCGAGCAAACTTCTTTCCCCATTTTCGGTGAGTAGTCCCAAGTAACAAGAATCACTCTAGATTCTTATACTGTAGCTGAAGATGAGATAGCTGTTTACTCCTTGCAATCTCGGTTTATCCGTTAATCTCTAATTGACGAATATGACCTCTTGGTTACTCTAATGTTTCAGTTAGAATTCCGGTGAATTCTATGGGAAGCAGGATTTACCAGAAATATCCTCTAAAAGCATGTGGCTGTGCATCTGCAACTCCTTGCACTGCAGAAAATGTGTATGTAGAGCTCAAAGATCCAAAGGTGTGTATGGAACTTCAATGCAGATGGAAACATTATTTTTTTAACACTTTTTCCTCCTTTGTGATACTCAGAATCCGTTGCCATGTGCTCATTTTTTTTTTCAGAAAAGTATTGGCGTTGTAGAACAAATGTCATCTGCAGAAAAAGCCAATTTATCTCGTAGCATGTTGCAATACAATCTGCTAGGGAAGAACCTTTTGGCACTAGAGGAAACTTTTGTCTCCTTGGACTCGTTAAGAATGGAAAGAGATATTATGTTGCAAATGGGGAAGTTGGGGGCTACTGAGTTATTCAAGACCTGTTTATCTAGGTCCCGTGGTTCTTCAGTCACTTCATGCTTATCTGACACAGGGACCGAGTTGGTGGTAGCTACAGAAGAACAGCAGACCTTTGTGCCTTCGAGAAGAAAATTGAAAAAGAAAGCAAGAAGGTCGAGTTTGAGTACTGGTAAAGGTGATCAGGGTTCTTTGTTGATCGGTTCAAGAACCACATGGAACGATATTGATGCCCCTAGACTGAGAAAGTCATCAAAATATAGAAAGAAAAGAGAGAGGATATCTAGAAACGAGGCTGAGATGTCAGCAGGAGCCAAGGTTCATTGTGCAATCCTCCTGTAGCTGTTTTTTTTCCTTTCTTTCTATTTTCACTTTTGAGTTAACAAGAAATTCTTATGACACTCTCATGTCGGTTTTGAAGATAGTGGCGGACATGGAGAGAATCAGAACGAAATTAGAAGAGGAAAGTGGTAAGGTAGCGAGTATGAGTTGTTGGGCTGAAGCAGCAGGAATGAACGAGATACTTCTGATGCGCAACCTACATTACGGATGGTACTGTAGAGATGAGCTGTTGAAAAGCACCCGGTCTTTGGTTCTCTTCCTTTCAAGAAATTACCGTGGACTGGGGATAGCCCACGAAGATTTAATTCAGGTTCCTATTCGCTCCTTAGAATTGTATTAACTCTGAAGAGTCCTGCAAACATCCAAATTTTTAGCTTAAGTTTTATAATTACGTAAAGCTTCTTTCTCGGTTCCATGATATTGCTTGGTACACAGATGCTTTAAAATTGTGATTGCAGTTCTTTTTGTGTAATATTCTTGCTTGTGGGTTTTATAGGCAGGGAATGTGGGAGTGTTACAAGGAGCAGAGAGGTTTGATCACACAAGGGGTTACAAGTTTTCGACGTATGTGCAATATTGGATAAGGAAATCGATGTCCATGATGGTGTCACGGCATGCAAGAGGCGTTTATATTCCTGTATGTGCATTTTGAAAATTTCAGTTGCCTTGAATCTTGTGCTTGTTTTATTTGATGGTTTATTTCATTTTCTGATTTGTTTATCGTCTCTGTTTCTTGTGGCAGTCGTCTGTAATCCGAACTATGAGTCAGATACAAAAGGCTCGTAAGACGTTGAAAACGAGCCACGGGATAAAGTATCCGGCCGATGAGGAGATTTCGAAAGAAACAGGCTACTCGTTGAAGAAGATTCGAGCAGCTAACCAATGCCTGAAAGTGGTTGGTTCAATCGACAAGAAAGTTGGGGATTGCTTTACTACAAAATTCCTGGTATGTCATTCTGAACCAAGATGCTCAAAATATTTGGTTAACTAGCACTTCATGTGGAGCCTGGAGTTTCGGTTTGTCGATTTTTTTCCGTTTAATTTTTGGTTTTTAGAAACGTATATAGAACGAGGACCATGATTTTTCACAGTTCGGCTTTAAGAACTTTTTGGTATAATTGAATTCGGGTTATAAAAATGCTGTTACTGGTTTATGAAAAAGCTTGGTTCGGTTTTGACTTTTGAGACTCAATGTTTGTTCTCCGTGGATACAGGAATTTACACCGGACACGACGATGGAGAGTCCCGAGGAGGCTGTGATGAGGCAGAGCGCATGGAGAGACGTACATGATCTTCTACAGGGACTAGAGCCAAGAGAGAAGCAAGTGATGGTTCTACGTTATGGACTTCAAGGCTTCAGGCCCAAGTCTCTTGAAGAGATTGGGAAGCTTCTTAAAGTTAGCAAAGAATGGATTCGGAAGATCGAACGGAGAGCAATGGCTAAACTCAGGGACCAAGCCAACGCCGAAAATCTCAGATTTTATTTGAATCCATAAAAAGATATAGATTTTTGTTACCAATGGCTTTTATGGCTTGTAATAACATTGGATTGGAGATCTCTGGAGTGTAGTAAAGTTATGTATATTTTAATATTATAGAGAAAATATAGATTTTATCCTAAATTGGAAATACTTTCAACATTGAGAACAACTGGCTTACTCAGTTACAAATCTTGAGATTTACATATATCCTGTAAAGTCATCTACTACGTAAAAACTGAATATGAACATCTCTAATGATTTCTTTTTGGTTCACATTATCTCCAATTATCAAGTTCACGATTGGGCTAAATATATAGTCTATGTATATAATATATAAAGCCTATTTAGCCCAATCGTAAATTGTAGACCCAAAAATTGATCGGTACAGTTGTTACGGCCGGTTTATCATCTTTTCGCGTCTATCGTCTTTCTAAAATTCGTAGACCATCGAAATTCGAACATCGTCGAGAGAAATGGCGTGCGCAGTTAGCAACGCTCTCCGATGTTACTCCGAAACGTTGCGTTTTGCTCCCCGACAACAATGCGGCCTCCCTAACCCTAATCCTTCCTCTTTCCTCTCCTTTAATTCCTCCCCCATTCTCTGTCAGGTAAACCACTATATATACCTCGAACCACACTTTTTCCGAGTGTACCCCATTTTGGGTATTCAAAACTGGTTCTGATTTCGAATTTCGGATTCCATAGATTTTGGGTGCTTCTCCTTCCCCTGTTTCCCGGCGGAATATTCTGGTTAGAGCGAAAATGGCGGCTTCGGAAGGTTCGATTAACGGAAGCAATAGGATGCTGGTAAAATTGATTCGGGTTTAATCGTAGATTCTGGAGTTTTTACTGTTTTTGTTTGAATGTGAAAGAGATGAACTGGTTTCAGGTCTTCGTGCCACCACATCCTTTGATCAAACACTGGATCTCCGTCCTGAGAAATGAGCAAACTCCTTGCCCCATTTTCAGTGAGTAGATAAGGTTTTGATGTGCAGATTTTACCACTGTTAGTATCTAGGACCAACTTTACATCATTCTATTGGTTTTCGAATTAGTTGGATCCTAATTTTCTACATTTATTGAACAATCTTTAGCTGTTATGTTGTGTTATCTGTTCAATTGCGTTTGAAAAATGAGTATTCAGGGACAGGTTTTCATTTTGCTGCAGTAAAGTTTGTGTTGCTGTTTTTTTTGAAATGTGAGTTTTCTTTTTAATGATCTTAGGGAATGCAATAGCTGAACTGGGGAGACTATTGATGTACGAAGCAGCACGAGAATGGCTGGTGCGTTTTGACAAAGTTTCACATCTCTCTTTTTTTTCTTCTTCTTCTTTAATTCGTTCTCTCCGGTTTCTGCTTATTGTTTCTTGATTCTTTCTTATGTGGTAAAAGCCAACCGTTGTTGGAGAAATAATGTCTCCAATGGGTGCTGCTTCTGTTGAATTCATTGATCCTAGAGAGCCTATAGCGGTTTGTTTATTCCCAACCCCTTTTCTATATTTCCCTCTCAATCCAAGAAGTAGACATTTCTTAGTCTTGGTTTTTGTCTCTGTGTAGGTTGTTCCGATATTAAGAGCTGGTCTTGCTCTTGCGGAACACGCATCCTCAGTTTTGCCTGCGAATAAAATATATCATTTAGGTAAGTATTTCTCACTATATCATCTCTGGCCTGAAGATATGATGTCAAAACAAAGACTTTTTATCTATTGCTTATTATGTCACCGTGTTTATCCTTTTTACCAGGAATAAGTAGGGATGAGAAAACACTTTTGCCTTCGGTGTATCTTAACAAGTAAGAACTTCTCTGCAGTATTTTGTAGCCACTGAAGTTTTTACGATAACAGATTTGATGCAACTTCTTTAGGTTGCCTGATGAATTTTCCAAGAATTCAAGAGTATTTTTGGTTGACCCAATGCTTGCCACAGGTTAGAAAGCCTTGTCAATTTTTGCAATGTAGCGAGTGTTTACTGATTTTAGCCACCATCATAACTGAACAATTAGTGTTATGATGTGCCTCAAATGTAAATGTGAACACATGACATGGTAATACCAATTTTTTCATAACTAGAAGCGTAGGTTGGTAACAATTTGGTTTCTCTACGCTTCATAACATGGGAATATATATTTTAGGCGGTACCATAATTGCGGCGATGGATCTACTGAAGGAACGTGGTTTGTCTGTTCAGCAAATCAAAGTGGTAAGCAAATATATAGGGGAAGCTTTTCACTGAAATGTTGGCTACAGAAGAATATCCTTTAGGTTATATTTATATTGCTTCATGACTCATGAAGTATATCCCTGATTACAGATTTGTGCGGTTGCTGCACCTCCTGCACTATCGAAGCTTAATGAGAAATACCCCGGGTAAAAATATCGAAACTCCTTAACCATTTTTGACATTTGGCACGATTACTTAACTTTTTGCTTACTGTTGGCAACATTTCAGGCTTCATGTATATACTGGAATTATCGATCCTGAAGTCAATGAAAAGGGGTAAGTCAAGCCGGCTTTCATGCACTTCCTTTATTGGATTCTTGATTTTCTCAAAGTATATTAGCATTAATGCTGTTAATACATTGATTATGAATCAGGTTCATAATCCCTGGGCTTGGAGATGCTGGAGACCGCAGTTTCGGGACATAAACCAATTTGTGTTTATTGGTTAAGCTTTTGATGAAGTTATTTGTATGTGTAGGATTGTCAGTTTGTCACCTGCTCTAGTGAACACAACTTTTGTATACAAGAGTATTCTTTGAAAAAATTGTGCGGGAAAAACTGATAAAATTCTTCCAGATAAATCCAACTTTTTAACCATTTTGTAACAAATGAACTAGTTACTGTTCTTCATGCTCAAGCTAATCAAAGTTCGTTAGATGTTAAAACAAAAGTAACTTTGATAATTGGATTTCTGCCTGAGATGAGATTATAAAAAAAGTAACTTGTATAATTCGATTTACGGTTACAACAAATAAACCGGGACAATTCTATTTTTATAATTTAGATTTATTCAATTCGGTTAACATCCCCTGTGATTCTGTGAAGGGGTAATGTTTTGAACATTGCTCGTCAGTTCAAAACGTGAAGGGTATAGTAGTCTTTAACATCCCCTGTGATACAAGCAAACCCTACGAGCTCGCGACTATAAATACCATAATTTGCTTTTCAATACCTTTTTTTCATCGCCGCCGGATTGCACTCAGATTCTTCTTCCTCTCAGGTGAGAATTTCTTCTGCTTAGACTCCTAATCTCTTTCTCCCATTGATCTCGTGCTGATTATGCGATTATCATTCTCTGTTTTGATGTTAAACGCGTCAGAATCATTGAGATATTGACGTCGTGAAATATTTCTATCGCTCATAAGATATTTATAATTTTGTTTACCGGTTTTCTACAGATCAGATCGTATTTTTCAAGCTAAAATCATGCAAAACGAAGAAGGGCAGATTACTGAGCTATACATTCCGAGAAAATGGTAATCAGCTTTCTTTCTTTCTTTACATTATTTTTTTGTCTGTTTTTGATGATCTTAAGCTGATCATTGTATTTGCTAAGCTGATTCTCTTGAATGGTTGTAATTTTGTAGCTCGGCCACAAACAGATTGATCACCTCCAAGGATCATGCTTCTGTTCAGCTTAACATTGGTCATCTTGGTCCCGATGGTGTCTACACTGGCCAATTCACCACATTTGCTCTCTGCGGATTTGTCCGAGCTCAGGTTTGGGATAACTCCCCTCTAATTAAATTACTTTGGAATTATCTTTGGAATCATCTCAATGCTTAAATTAGTCTTCCACAATTGTTATAGCAAAATGTATGATTGTGTTTGTCTATTGGCGTTTTTGATTGAATGAAAACCTAAATTGCAGGGAGACGCAGACAGTGGCGTGGACAGGCTCTGGCAGAAGAAGAAGGTCGAAACCAAACAACAGTGAGAGAGAGCGTGAATCTAAAGCTGCCTCTAGTTTGTTTTTTGATGTTTCATTGAATTTCGTCTACATGCGAACTCGTATTTTTGTTTTCTGATTATGAAAGATAGGTTTTGATGCCAATGAAATCAGATTCTACAGTTAAATTCTAATCTCTAATGTGTTTTCTATACCAAGTAACTGCTTTATCCTTGGTCATTTGCAAGATGAACCTAAGAAATGTTTTACACATTATTGCCAATCTAAGAAACAGTTGCCTATCAAATCTGCAAAATTTTTCATTTCTTTCATATTGAAATGTTTTACACATTATTGCCATCGATCAACAAGATAAAAAAGTGGAAAGTAGTGTGCTCGGTATTCATAGGAAATTGGTTTGGTTTTGAAATTTAGCCAAAGCCGTCTGTTGAATCATATCTCCCCATCCCAAAGCTCTTCAAGCGTCTTATAAGGACTCAACGTCTCATGAACGAACGATGTACCTTGGACTAACCTAGCCTGCACAGTGAAGATAACGCCAAAAATGATGTTTAGTATCTATATGTTCGCAAATTGCAAATACAAGATGTATGTAGTTGTGGTTTCACTTGCCTGTTCTATATCAGAAAACCTGTCAAACATTTCTCCTGAAATCGACCATCCTAGTACCTCAAAATTCTCTCTGATTCTCCCTTCTTTTGTGCTTTTGGGAAGCACACTGTGACCCATCTGAAGACCCCATCGAAGGGCGGTTTGTGCAGGAGACTTCCCGAGTTCTTTAGCAACCGTTTCCAAAACCGGATTCTTTAGAACATCGGCCTTTACCCATGTTGTTCCTGGAGAACCCAATGGCGAATATCCCTGCGACAATCAAATATTGAAACTTCTGATTCAGTTTCCTCGAGAGTTTTGTAATGATTTGGCCAATGTTAGTGTTTCAAACTTACTGAGAGGTGGATCCCTTTGGACTTGCAGAACTCATGTAGCTTATGTTGTTGCCATGAAGGATGACATTCCACCTGGTTTACAGCTGGAGGAACACGAGCAACCTCCACGAGATCTGAGAGTTTCTTCGTGGAGAAATTGCTTACGCCAATGGCTCGTGCCTTTCCTGAATCATACAGTGCTTCCATTGCTTTCCATGTACTTGGAATATCAATAGGCATAAGGTTCTCTGGCTTAAATTCAACAGTGCCTTTCTTCAACCGAACAGGCCAGTGCATCTTCAAAAAATATCAAATTGATGTATAATAAGAAAACATAATTAGAGTTTCAAATCCAGAGATCCAACTAGTATTTCACTAAGCACGTTTCAGGCTAGACATTGGAAGATATGAACACATCTTGAAAACTGTTGAAATATAACAATTAGCGTTCGTTCGTGCTTACGAGATACAAGTCGACATAATCAAGCTGCAGATCCTGTAGAGTTCTATTCAATGCCTCCTGCACATCCGGAGGGTCAAGATCAGTCAACCTGTTAGCGCATGATTTGTACAGGTTATAAAAGGTTAGAGGCTAAGCAGACTCGAGGGAATCTGGAAATGCGTAAGTGATATAAAAGATAACAAAATCGTTATAAACAAAATAAATACCAGATTTTTGATGTGATGAACAGCTTCTCACGCTTCACTACGCCATCTTCAAACAATTTCTTCAGAACTTTCCCAATCTGCATAGGCGCAAAAAAAGTTTTCAGTATCGCATTACCAAATTTAACAGAGATGAAAAAATTCAGATCAATAGATTTACCTCCATTTCATTGCCATATCTCGAAGCACAATCAATATGCTGATAGCCAATCTGTAGCACGAAAAAATGATGTTTCAGTTCTTCAACTAATGAAACGAATCTCCAATTCAATCCCTAGAATCCCGATATCAATCAACACTGAGAGAAAAAACACTTTTCTCTAAAGATCTGAAATCAATCCCTGAAATCTAACCAGAAACCTCTAGGGATCAGTCAAATGAGAAGCCATGAGACGGAAATCAGTGACGAACCTTCACAGCGGCGGCGACGGCGTCTCCGACGATGCCAGGAGCTGCCTGCCATGTCCCGAGACCGACGGATGGGATCTTTGCTCCGGTGTTGAGTTCGAAGTATCCGATTTCGTTCGCCATTGTCAGATCTTTTAAGAGTGCGATTTTAGATCTCTAAAACTAAAAAAGAAAAACGATAAAAGCGGGAAGACGTTGGAATTTTATTCCTAAAGCGGTTAGATTTCAAACACGTGGATGAATCCAAACGGTTTCGAGCTTGTATTTAGTGATTGCTTAATTAACTCCAGTAATTGCGATTAATTAATTCAATCCAAATAGCGAAAATGTAACAAATTCAGTTTAGTTGCATAAAAATATTCTTTTGTTTCTATTTTTAATTTTGTCATCAACTAAAAAACCATTGTAAAAGTGAATTTTGTTTTTTTTTTCTCATTCTAACGAAAAATATATTTCTCTGCCACGTCGGACGCATCCTCTCAGTCCACTCGCTCACGAACTTTAAAGCAAGCAAAAAAGTGGTAATGTCAAAGGAGAAAGACGAAGAAGTTTATAATCGAATCTAGAGCAATTTCGGAAACTCCTATTTACTAGGTCTCAATCATCTTCCAAGTTTCTTAGCTATGGAGTTCCTCTGCACTTGCAATTCCCCGCCAAAATTCCTTCTGAAGCAAATGTAGCTTTAAATTGCGAAAACTAGGGTTTCTCTGGTGGTTCCTCGATTTTTGTTCCTCTTTCCTCGCTGATTTATCGGAATTTTCTGGGTTGGGAAGACAAAATCGACTCATTTACATTGAGATGAAGAAGATTTTCGGAGGCCCAGGAACTGTGTGTGGCCTGTTACTGAGAATCGGACAATGTGCTTCATCTGCGGCATCCATCGGCGTTATGGTCTCTTCGACAGATTTCTCTCTTCGCACTGCTTTTTGGTATAATTCTCTCTTCTTTTAAGTCTCGACTTGTTTCTCTCTAACCTCGTTTTTGATCGGTTAGATATATGTATTCATTAGGAGGATTTAGGAGCTAAGGGTAATGGATTTCTATGCAATCTTGGTGTAAATCATCTGTGAAAAGAAACAAATTCACCATTATAAGGAACTGTTGTTTTAATTTTTTTTGGTTGGTTTCAGCTACTTGATTGCTTCAATGGGTCTTCAGTTGCTGTGGAGCTTTGGGCTCGCATGTCTTGATGTTTATGCTCTGAGGAGCAAGAAAGATCTCCAAAACCCGATTTTGATTAGCTTATTCGTCGTTGGTGATTGGGTATGTAACCTTGTTTTAATAGTTTCTTTTTTCTAGCTTAGTGATCTGTAATGATAGAGAGCTGCTTCTTGCTCCATACTTTGGACTCGTAATCTTTTCCAAGGATTGAATTGTTTTCTTGTGGAACCTTTTTTTTTTGCAGGTGACTGCAATGTTATCACTTGCAGCTGCATGTTCATCAGCTGGAGTTGTAGTTTTATATGCTAAAGATCTCAAGTATTGCCATGTTCAAGACCAATTTTCATGTCCTAGGTATGAAATAGCTGTAGCGCTTTCTTTCGTCACTTGGGTTCAAATCGCCGTTTCTTCTCATGTCACATTTTGGATCTTAGCCTCGGTTTAGTTCGGAAAATATCTCCGACTTTTTTTTTTCTTGGAATGTTGAGAACATCTTGTAGCTTTGATGATGACAACCACATTTTGCTTCAGATTCAATCCATCAATGTTTCTTGAAATTAAGCTGATATTACATACCAAGTATTTCTGGCTTAATCCACCACACCATACTTAGAAAACTCATCATCTTGTTATACACTGAGGAGTACTAGAAACGCAAAGTTAGGACCTTCCTTGTTCACAGTTATGGATCCTGCAGGTGCCTTTTAAGTGTTGTGAAATTTGATCATATAACGCAACTGATATTCCATTAACAACATTGATGTGTTCTACCAATACAGTTATAGGTCCTAGCTAGCTTCTTGTCACATTTTTTGTTTCCATAATTTGTAAATCAACCAAACAATGCCATCATAAGAAAGCCAAAATCTCTTATTTAAAGTGTTACCTTATTCAATTTCAGTTTCTGCGACAGCTCTCAAATAAAGTATATATATAAAATAAAATAAAAACACTGATCAAAACTTGAATCTATGATCTGTTTTTTATATATTGGCAAAACACTCATTTTTGGGCAAAATGCATCACCAAAAAGAAAAGAAAAAAAGTCGATAAGAACCAATTGGATAGGGCTAATGTTGTAAACAATTATATAAACCGAGGAACTTGAATTGGAAAAAATATTATTTACGAAATTCGTTATACTACAATATTTTGAAATTGGAATACTCATTGTTGAAGAAAAAAAAAAAGGAGCCTTTTCTCATGTTTCAGAAGCAGAAGCAATTCCTTGTAAAATGCATTCGATCTCCTTCGCTGCAGCTTTCATCGTTGGTCGACTTTGCCTCGTCTCCTTCACGCATCGCTCCGCCAAAAGTCCAAGCTCCTTCATAGACTCCAACTCCGTCGCCGTCGCTTCTTTCCCGATCATCGGATCAATCATCTCCGCAAATCTCCCTTCCCTCAACGTCTTCCTCACGAACACCACCAGGTTCACGTCTTCCTCCTCTCGCTTGAAATCAATCGCCTTCTTAGAAGTCAATAGCTCGAACAACACCACACCGAAGCTGTACACGTCGCTCTTATCCGTCAATTGAAAGTTAAGGTAGTACTCAGGATCCAAATACCCAAGGGTTCCTTGCGCGCAGGTCGTCACGTGGCTCACATCGCTCACGCCCAATCTGGATAATCCGAAATCGGCAACCTTAACGTCGAGGTTCTCGTCGAGGAGAATATTGCTCGATTTGACGTCTCTGTGGTAAATCGGCGGTGTAGCGGATGTGTGGAGGTAAGCAAGTCCTTGTGCCGTCTGATACGCGATCATGAGGCGGCGCCGCCACGGTAAAGGATCGTACGATCCGCCGCCGCCGTAGATGTGCTCGTACAAAGTTCCGTTCGGTACGAATTCGTAGACCAGAATCGGCATGTCCAATTCGATGCAGCATCCTAAAAGCTTCACCAGATTCTTATGGCTAACTTGGCAAAGGATCTGAACCTCGTTGACGATCTGGTGTATGCTCTTCTCGTTCCCGAGCTTGGCTCGTTTCACGGCAACTGTTGTTCCGTCGTCGAGATTTCCTTTGAAAACCTCGCCGAATCCGCCGTATCCGAGGAGATTGGATTTGGCGAAATTGTTCGTCGCTTTGACGATTTCTTTGCCGGAGAAGATCCTATCGAGTCCGGCACTATTGGTACTCAATAGATGCCGATGTAGCTTCCTAATGTTTGCCCACGATTGGCTTCCGGCGACTCTCCGATTCCGCTTCGAGATTATCATCTTCATTACGCATCCGGCGATTAATATTGCCCCCACACCTCCGGCCAAAACTGTTCAAGAACCGAACCGTATCAGTCAACAGCAAACCAAATCGAATCGTACCGGTCTAAATTCGAATTCTATTGTTCGGTTCTTTCTCGGTTCAAACTTCAACCAAGGATTTGAATTTACCTCCGATTAAAGGCAGATTACTCCGTCGCTTGCATTTCTTTCCCTTAAAGCATCGGTTAACTATATAAAACAAATAAAACAGTTTTGTTATTAGTAAAAGACTCAATCACAAACAAAATCAAAAGCCACAAAACCGGACCTTGACAGATTGCGTTGGCCGAATCCCATCGAAACCCTTTCTTGCATAAACATTTCTTCTGTCCTAAATTCGTCGAATCAACCGAACAAACCGAATTCACCAAATCGGTACAATCTCCTGGGATCTTACAAACCGGCTCTCTCGGAGCTTCCCATAGTATCTCCACGGCCGGTTCGCCCCATTTGCTAACCGGCAACGTTAGATCCAAATTCATATAACTCTGATAAGCCGAACACATATCTTCCCTAGCCCTGTAAACTTTATAAGTATTAACCGATGCACCGGTCTTATACCAGCAGCAAGATGAGACGCCTCGACACTTGCCTCCCCGTGCTTCGAGATTTAGAAACTTGTGGCAGAAGCTATTGTGGGAACAGTTAAACCCTTGAGAGATGTATTTATCTAGACCGTCTTTTGTACAATTCATGATGATAACCGTGTTACTACTACTAACATTAAAAGGAAGGTTTGGGTCTAGCTGAATACCATGGCTCTTGATATCGACCGATACACATGTGTTGGGTTTGATCCCGGGTGGTGTGAGGACAAACCGTTGGCCCGACGGGTCGATTGTTTTTATCGGATTGGTTGAACCGTTGAGCGTATCAAACCAGAGGGAACCGCGGTCTTCGTCGCACCGGATCTTGTAATCGGGATCGCCACAATCGCGTCTCGTGCTTAGTGGGTAAGGGACTTGGGTGGAGCCACAGTTAGGGCATCGTTTGAAAGCTTCTGCAATGGAAGTGAAGGAAAGAAGTAGAAATAGAGTGAAAGTGATCATCTGAGAGAGGAAAGAGAGCCATGGAAGCTCCATTATCTTTTTTTTTTGGTTATGGGCAGGTGCTTTCTCAGGGTGTGGAAGCTGCGTACTATATGATTTCTGATTTCTTTTTTATAATGATTTATAATATTCGTATTTTCTTGGTCATTGAGTTTAACGAATAGATTCTTTCAATGTTCCGATTGCATCATGGTACATTAAAAGCTGCGTTCAGATATCTCGAGTTGACAGAAAACTTTGAATTTTTTTACTTATTAAAGAAATTCGGTATTGAGTAGAAGACATGTGGAAGATGATTTTTAATTGCGTGCATATGTATACGTGTTTAGTGTAAATGTTCAGACATTGAAATGCATGAAACAAAATACAAATTATAAATCTTTTTCAAATTATCATTTTTTGAATCATACAATGATGTTTTGGAAAGTTATAAACAAGAGAGAATATATATTTGAAAGTTGAAACAAACACATGCATGAAAAAAGCTCAAATTATTATGAAGTAAAACATGTATTATCCATCTTGATACAAGTGAAATACATACAAGTGATATACACCGGACCGTTGATCAGCTCTTTAGATTGTGAAAATTTGATTATAATTAATTATTCATAAACTTAAAGAAAAACACTTATTCGCTAAAATATAATCGAATGATGCATCCATGACAATTTTTTTTCTCTATATCAAAGGGACAAACCTCCTGCGACGTGACATAGGTTCCGAGGAATAAATTTCTTTATACTTGTATGTTCAGTAGCCAACTGGCTTATCTATATTATATAATGTGGTATGGTACGGTGCTAAAATGCTAATTAATCCACCGAAGCACGTAATTTACTAGCAGTTTACATAACAATATTGACATAATTAAATTAATTTCATGTATTTTTTAGTATTTTTATTTAGCAACTGCAATTAAGTTTCCCGACTTCGGACTCATCTTGGGTGAAAAGTCTTTCCAATGAGTATGCTATTACAAACAAATACTCAGCCTAAACATTCGAATAGTCTAAATAAATCTGTTTGAAGAAATATGAAACTCAAAAAATTGGGAACACATTAGTTTGACAATGAATCTTAGAAAACACTTGTCCACTGCCAATACGTTCGGCTACTATATAGGTAATTAGCCATAGTTTAAGAACTATAGTTGAGTTTTCCCATTAAAAACGTTTGTATATTAAGAAAACAGTGACCAAATTATTAGCTTTATAGAACGCAATATATAATATATGTATGTATTAGTGAGCCGTAGATCGTTATAACTAAGGTAGCAAAATCATACTAGATTTTTACCAAAAAAAATAAGAATACTAATTCTCTTGCATCCTTTTAAATAAAGTAACAGAATATGTTGGAAGGTACTTTTAAAAGCTTTCCCATCCATGTTAACATTGTTAAGTACCTTCCAACATATTATACGTAGTTAACATTATGATAATGCACTTATACTGACACTTATTTTGTTTTAACCTCAGTTGTTACATTATTTGACATTTTCAGTCATAACTGCTTGATCGTGTGATTCGATAAATGTATGACTTGACCTTGGATCTTCAATGTGCGTTGGAATATGCTACAGATCTTCCAATCATCCACACTAGTTTGCCTCTCGAACTCCATCTTTCTTACCATTACTTTTTTTTTCCCATTCCATGCCCAATTTTTTTTAAAAAAAAATTTGGCTCAACATCAACTTTGATCAATCCATAATCTGAAACTACAAAGGTTTGTCCACTTGTACATGAGATTCAACCCAATTTAGTACCATACAGTAAAGCTTAGGTATATTTAATTTGAAAAAAAAAATATATGTTGCTACTCTATCGGCCACTGCATTGCACTCCCTTGGAAAAAATATCAATCTTGTAAAATCGGGTTGAGACATGGCTGCACTTCTACTTTCAACAATGATATGAGTACCTGCTCAAATTATTTATTTATTATTTATATTTTGTAAAACTACCCAAGTTTACGTTCGATTTTTTATTTTTTTAATCTAATTTATTTAAATGGTCTATACACATACGCCCACAAATTCACTGTAATCTGCGGACAAGCTGAAGGTGACATGTATGAGTGGAGTGGCTCACCTATCTCTATATACAAATCTATGTGTCTACAACATTCTAATTTCTCGATCCTCTTTTTTTTTTTGTTTCTTTAGTTAATTAAGATTGTTGTCTCCGATCCAATTGTTAAAGTAATTGCTTCAAGTGCAAGTTCTAAAGAATAAAAGTTAAAATTCCAAGGACCTATTCATCTTTTAGATCATTTACTTTCAAGAAATCGTTTTACATTTTGCACCACCCTCACAAAACGATTTTAACTTTTCCTGATTATACAAGTGAATAGAACTGGCGAACGCTGTAACATGACCTGATCCTTGAAAAAAAAATCCAACTGATTCATTTGTGATTATTTCATACCAACCAGTTTTATTCTTATGTTCCCCAATTTCCCCATGTGACAAAATGCAAAGTCAAAGCTTTGTCCCAAAAAAAAAAAAAAGAAAACAATGAAGACAGGGAAAGATTGAAGAAGAAATACATACAGCAAAAAGCCTGTATGTACAGCTTTTGTCAAACCTATAAGCATCTCCTTCACAAGTCGAAACCCCGAAAATGTGCGTATTGAGGTTCTCAAGTGGGTGAGTCAGCTAGTAGTAACGTATGCCACCATCCACACGCCACTTTTCTCAGTCTGCAGCCATCGAGCTGGACTTGTGTAGGAATGTCCCGGTCAATCGTGTCCCCTAGACCAAGCTGTTGAGTACAAAGTAGGGATGCAAAAATGAGATGCTATTTGAACACATGCAGTGATAATGGAACGCAAACGCTTAGCAAACCAAACCGAAAAATCATACCTGTCCGTATTTGTTCCATCCCCAGCATAGCAACTGGCCATCTTCTGCAGAAACAAAAACAGCAGCACGAATAAGCAAAACAGAGATTACATTTAGAATGCAAATGTGTTTCAGGCATATACTACACAGTAAACTAAACTTAGGTGGAGCATCGACATCAGGCATATATCATAGAACGAAAAGTGTTTCACCAACATGCTATATGACTTTAAAAGGAAGTAGATAATTTTTCTCCCTTGAAAGAGAGACCACAAATTAATACTGAAACAATTCAAAAGGAGACCTGAGGACAAGGTGCAGCATCTCACAAGCTAGGGCTCTTTAGTTTCTTCTCGTTAAAACAACTGAAAACAAATGCCAAGTTGCTAGGGCTCAGTTCGTTTCGGAGATGTCCCTTTCTGCCATTAACATTCGATACACATACCTGCCAAAACCGCACTATGCCGCGCTCCGCAACTAACTACTCTCGCATGTCTGTTCTCCAAGTTCTGGCCATCCAGCAACCTCGGTATCGTCTAAATCATAAGAGAGATGATTACATTACTTTGAATCAGCAGAAAGTTTTAGCTTTTTCAAGCAGAAGTCCGTAATTTTGGATTACAAGAAATGTACCTCAGCATGATCAGTGCCTGTTCCCAGTTGCCCAAATTGGTTTCCACCGAAGGCAAACACTTTACCATCACTAGAGATGCAAATAGTATGCCACAATCCAGCTGCTACGCTCTCCATCCGAATATTCTGCACTGCTGACACAGCCATGGGCTTTAACTGGTCATTTGTGTTTCCATGGCCACACTAGAGGCCAAGAAAATTTTCCAGTTAGCATGAGCAAATAGTGAAGCTAAATAGAACGCATTTCAATTCAAGGCTCCATCAGTTTGAAAATCAGACAATTGATTAGTAAGAAGTAAAACATTCACCTGTCCATATAGTCCCCAGCCAAAAGTTATTAACCCTCCAGCATCTGCAACTAGGAAGGACGAGCAATCAAGATCAAACCATAACAAAATTTTCTAAATCACTCGATAATAACAACTTGGGGAATACATATATTTCCAAGTATATTTTTTAACTTCATGCCAAGCCAATTGAATCAACTGTACAGAGGAATAACTCAGAAGTCGCAACAGACCTGTAATTGCCGCACTATGACGCCCTCCACAAGAAATCGCCTTTATATACTGACCAGGAACTCTTGATACTTGAGTAGACGTGGTTGCTGTCCCTTGATGTAATATGAAAGATCGTTCTATTCCAGATCCAGGTGATTCAAGGAAAGGTATTAGATGAGGAGAAGACACCATTTTGATCCGGGAACCCAATCCTAATTGCCCTTCGCCTCCATATCCCCAACCCCAAACCTGTCCTATATCTGAAACTTCCGCAGAAACATGACACATAAGATGTAATCATCCTCAATGAATCTTCATGGTTGCACAGAACCTACAAACTACAAGGATGCAGCTTCATCTCGGATTGTAAAGAAGTCGTTTATTTCAACTTCACCTGACAATGCCAGAGTATGCCGACCACCAGTAGCAACACTTGTGATCCTCACTCCAAGGCCAACACTCACAAGTGAAGGTGTTGTAGCAAAGAAGTCCTCTCCAGATGTAATGCCTTCCGTTTCATCTTTGGCTGTTGAAACCCGTCTCCGCTTCACCGGTTCCTCTCCAACCTTTCTGTTCTCATTCTGTAATGTCGTACCGCTGGATGAATTTGAACCTTGGAACAGTGGACTCGCTATTCAATTGAGACCATACTATATCCGTCAATGATAAACTAAGCAACAGCAATAAAACAGATGATATCCCACCCGATCTCACCTTGCTCACTCGATCCACTCTGCTGCTTTCCACCAATATCCCTAGATGGAATGCACTCCTTCCAACCCCAAGTAAATGCTTCACCACTCTCTATAACACCAACACACAGGTCACCAGAAAGAAAAAGAGAAGGCATTGTTACAATGTGCCCATCCTGGTCACAAACATCATTGATTCTTTTCGTGTTTCATTGACCAATCCCTAAATACTCTATCTTGGTATTTCGAACATGTCTATTGTCTCCGAGTCAAAGCAGAGAAATTACCTGTGACAACTGCACAATGTGCCCATCCTGCAGAAGCCTGTATGACTGGAGCCTCCGTGGGGAGAGGAAACGGCTCTGGAGTTTCCTTAGCTCCAGAGGAATATTGGAATATTGGAATCAATCAATACGTAACAAAAGAAGGTCAAGAAGATGAAGATTCTATCATCTTTTAATGAAAATTTACCCCATGCTTTCCAGAAGCCACGTAGCACTGTCCTTCATCATCAGAAGACCCCCAAGTTATAAGCTTCCCATTATCTAACACCCAGCAACAATAGAAAGAAAGTAAAAAAAAAAAATCGAGTTTTGATTCATATAAACAGAATCCACTAAATCCGAGAAAAAGAAAAAGCTTTTGTAATCCAACCTGAAATAGCCATAGCGAATCCACAACCGCCGCCACATACATCTTTCCAAGAATCTCCGCCGTGAAAAGCCTCCGGTAACCGCACGGGAACAGGAGAGAGAATCGGTGATTTCTCCGGCGCAGCTCCTGGTAGGTAACCGGACATGTAAACAACACTCGCTTTACGTTCCCCAATCGGAACTTTTCCAATATTCCCATTCATGGCAGAGATTACTCCAAAACCAAGCCGATAACACACGCACAAATATATCAACACCAGAAACAAATTCAGAGCGTTTCTCCGTCTTCACAGACAACAGAGAACGAGACCGAATCGAGAAACGGAAAACGAAAGAGAACGAGTTGACTCAGTGAGGAAAGAAAAAATGAGTGAGAATCAATTACGGGAGTTTAGAGAGTGCCACATCGGATGCCACGTCATCAGTTTAACACGCGGCATGATCTAGACCGTGATTCTTTCTTTATAACTGAAAATTGTCGAAGAAGTTTCTGGAAGAAAGACTATCGACTTTGGAAGCTCTTTTTCCTTCTGATTGACGCGTGGTGGGGAAATGACCTTCCAAATAAATATTCTTTTTTATTTTTATTCCTGCGCTATTACCTTCCATTATTAATTAATCCAAAATGGTAGGTTTTCAATTGGTTCAATAATATAATCGATTCAGACAAATAGGTTTTGTAACTTGTGTTATACACATATCTCATTTGGGCCGGCCCGGAATATTTTGCTGCCGCAAACAAAAATTTTGAGCCCATTTTTTAACATACAATGTCTAACAAATTCCCGCGAAATTATAATTGCGAGTAAACAACTTCCTTCTATTTAAGGAACCGGAAACCTCACACTCGCTTAACTCTTCTTTGGCAGCATTATGTATTTCTCTTCCAAGTGCTTGCAATTACCGTTTGCTTGTAGAAATTGAGCTTTTTTGTCAAGCTCTCTCCATTTATCACATATTAGATGGTATAGATCAATAAAATAGAGCCTTTTTATATCAAAGCTGATTTTCCTTTTGGGAAATTGTTTTGTGATCATATTACTATAATCTCTAATCATTATATCACTTTTAGAAAAGCCGTGCTATGGAGTTAATATTTGCTCTGTATCTTGTATTTGTGTTCCATAAGATTTAAAATTAAATGTTTAAATCTTAAGTACCATCTACGCATTCTTGGTTATTAAAGCATCCTAGAAACAAAATTAATGATTAAAATCTCAACACAATCATATACGTATCACTATATACATAAATGTTAGTTTTAGTGTAATATTTACAAATCAACCGAACCAAACTATTTCAAATAATTACATATGTACTTGGTGATTAACTATTCACATAATTACGTACTTGGTGATTTCTTATAAGGATCTAATCCTAGACGAAGCTCGAGATCTAACACTTCTGCACTTTGTTGGGATAAAGCGTTTTGAAGTATCCTCTTTTTCTTCTCTTCTTCATCATCTCCCAAATAGTTTCCACTTTTACTACCTTTTTCCTTTGTTGTTGGACCGACCGTATCAACGAAGAAAGGTAATTCAATAAGATCTTTCTCGAACGGATTTCTCGATATGGTGGACATGGAATCTTCACTATCTCCCTCTTTTAGGCTTTCTTGTCGAAGCTTTGCTCTGTCTTTCCTGTGGATGTTCATGTGCCCTCCTAAAGCTTGTGCGTTGGAGAAACCTCTCTCGCAGAAATCGCATATGTATGGTCTTGCTTGTCCGGACCATGAATATGATCGACGATCCAAGTATTTTCTATTCATTTGTATATGATCGAGTGAGTAGATAAAGAAATAGAATATAAAAGGAGTGTTTTAATTTGTGAAGAGATGCTAATTTTGATATATTACAAGGTATTGAGAACGGTTACACATATACATTGTGATCATGATTATATAAAAGTCAGAGCCGACTTTTTCTTGCTTAACCGACACAAAGTAATAAGATAAACTTATATGATGATTGGTTATTTAAATGGGTTTGGGTTTAGGTTTACATTTTTAACTTTTATATATATATAAAATTTTAACATATATAGCCGACAATAATCACTATATTATTATAAATGTATAAGAAAGCGTTTTTCTCCTCCAACTTGGTCTGTAGCTACATGAGTTGTATCATGATTCGAATTCAAATTGAGTATTGATGTGCGTCTGAAATGTATATGAATATTTTGTTATAATCTATGTAAATATTATAATAAATGAAAAATGAAAATGTAAACAACTGAGAGATGTCTAAATAAACAATGTCTTCCGATAAAACATACACACACACACGTATGAGCGAGCGGTTGACAACATATATGTTTTACAATTTTCTTTAATCAGTATCATTAATTGGAGATATACATTATATAAAAGTCAATTACAAAACTATATTTTTTTCATCCGGTTAGAGAGATAAAGTCATAATATTATTAGCCGGCATCATAGCTCTCGTATACGTTAAATGATGACGACACTTGCTTAGTTAACTTGTTAACTTAAACATTATTTCTAACTTATAAAGTGGTTAAAGAGGAAGAAGTATAATAATCGTAAGTCTTATATTTCCTTGAGCAAGAAACAATATATAGAACAATTCTGCATTAGTGTCTTGGACTTATCCAACTATTAATTGATATAGACAAGCATTACAATCTCCATAAGCTTTTCTTTTTTTTCAATCTCCATAAGCTTATTTTAACCCTATGGTTAGAATGCGTCAAGGGTTTTATATGGGCTTCTAAAAAGAATTCTAAATGGAACATTTCTTTTACCGACTTGTCAATGTTGGAGTTTCACATGTGTCCTTTATATGCAACGCCAAGAAAAAGGAGTATTATGTATGACCAATATACGATATAAAAAAGTTTATCAGAATATATAATAACTATGAGTTTCACATTTAGACCAAAAAAAACTTTGAGTTTGAGACATAACGAATTTCTTTATGAGGTTCTCACCGATACTCGTTTACGGAAGATATAATACGATCACTACTGTAGAAGAAGTTTTTCAGAATATTTATATGTTTTTTTTTGTCAAACGGAATATTTATATCATTATATGTAGAAAACCTTAAACTGAGATATAAAACGTTAGTAATGAAAACTTCACCGATACGTAAGCTACTCACTTACTGGAAAATAAGCTCAAGACAAGATTGTAGTTTGACGAAGGCAAATCTGTAATGGGTTCAAACTTCACAGTGTTTCAAATCGATGCCCCATAGTTATAACTTATATGTATGAGGCTTACCTCATTATTACCAAAATAACAAGAGTTTATAGAACTTCATGTTTTAAACAAAAAATTTGGACCCTAAGGAGTTTTTTCTCTCTCCCTCTTCTCTCATATCCATCTTTCAGAGGGAGAGAGCTTTTTCTCCAATTTTGCTGTATATTCCGATTAATATCGGATCTAATTTCCGTTTATCGGATTAATAATTCCGACTTTCGGATTTCTTCTCCGAGTATGTTCGGATTTTCTTTTTGTTTTAGTGTGTTTAACTCCGTTCATCGGTATCTATTCAATGTGTTTAGGCGACGATTGGATGATTCCAGAACTTAATTTCCGGTGGATTCATGAAGATTTAATGTTAAAATCATGCAGAAGATCAAGCGGTGGTACTAGAGCAAGCATCGCAAAGTTTTGTGCATAACGAGAAGTAGCCGGCGGTGAATTTCGTCGGACGGAATCCTAAGCGGCGATGCATGACGATTAGTTCTTCATTTAGACACGTGTCCTTTGTTTTTAACTTGTTCTTATCTGTATTTTCCCACGTGTCTCATTATGTCATCGTTGTCAACTGGATCTTTTATGGGCCTATATCTGTACCAATCGCTTTAGCCCTTGTTATGGGCTTTCGTTATAATGAAATGACGACAAAAAAAAAACAAACAAGAGTTTTCTTTCTGGGCCTGGGCTGGGCTTAAGTACTTTTTTTACTTCTGCCATCAATAATTTATACATTAATTCCAAAAAGAAAAAAACGTACTCAGAGATTTATCGGAAGAAACTTATGAGTTGGTTTATCAAAGAAACATGAGTTGGTTTCTTCTTTATTATTATATTAGTAAAATTGGAATAAGAAACCAAAAAAAATTCATGTTTTTTTATAATTAAAAAAAAATTGATTATTGAAAATGAAATTGTTAATATTACATTTATTATAATTTGAAAACATTACAAACTTAACAGAATTATTGAAACAACACAATTTTAACAATTAAACTTAATTACCCATTAAGTGACCAAACTTTTGCCATATATGATCCGAATTACCTCGGATCCCAAAAGCTGAAGAAATCGGCCTCTTCAGAATTTTGCATGTCTCGTGGTTCTGACGGAGAAATATGCTGCTGTTCACCAGAAGTCTAGACGAGTACGGAGGCGGCAGGATTTCGATTCCTCTCTTGGAAGCCGGTAATCGCCGGTAATCGCCGAGAACGGAAGTGATGGAGTGGTGAGAAAATTTAGTCGGGGAAGAGAAGTTTGATTTTGTCGGGGAAAAGAAAATTTAGTCGGGGATGAAACTTCTTAAATTTTATCTAAGGACAAAATCAACTCCTAGCCAATAGAATATCGCCACTTCAGCTAGAAGGATCGCTCTTTCTAATCCCAATTTAGGGATCGATCCTGCTTTGATGATCTGCTTTATTGATTAAACTGGGTTTTTTATTACCAGAAACTGACCAAATTTTCTTTGATAAACATGGTCTTATATATTATTTCGGTGCTCTGTTAGGTTCACAGAAATAACGGATAGAAACTATTAAAAAATCCGATATTTCTTCAACTGCAGCGTTTGCACTATGAATGGTTTTTCTAATAGAATAATACCGCTATATTAAAAAAAAAAACGGAAATTAATTTCAGGTATAATGCCTTTCCATTTTGTGGTGTGTCGCTCCTGATATTCTTCATGTGGTCCAGAAAATTTCGGGGTTTTTAATAAGATCCGTAATGACTATATGATTTTTGACCAGTTGCCATACTCTTTTTGTTTTATGTTCATTAATTCGTTATTTTCGAATATTTTTTATTTGCTCTTTTTCCATATGTTCGTAATCAGTTTATAATAATTCGGAGTCCAACCATAATCAGTTTTGAGTAGGGACGCAATAAAATCGAAGTCCAAGAAAACTCAAAGGAATATCATCAGACTGACCATTGTGTTACGTAGCTGACTGACACCAAAAAATCAACGGTGAAGATTGAATTGAGAAGGTTCCTCGCAAGAAATAGATTGGACGAGTTTTGACCAGTTGTCTATTTGACCCCCATCACTTCCTTTTTCTCATAATTCACATTTTCCTACGTACACTCAACGAAGTTTTACGTCAAATAAAGTAAGTAGTTATGGTTATGGATCATTTCATTTTCCTTGAATAATATTTTGGGAAACTTATGTATAAGAAATTTTTTAAATCATCTTTGTGAATCGCAAACCATAAGAGAGAATGGATTCGGCTGGGAACGGCAAGATTATTTTCCTTGCAACCATGAACCATTGGTGTTGATCTTACGTCTTTAAGTTCATAGAATGATACCTCAGCTTTAGTTTGTTTTGCTCGTGCTCAGATTTCAAATTCTGATTTTTCTAGCTACTTTACTTTTTTGTAATTGATGTCCGATTTTGGATCGAAATTTTATTTTTTTTTTTCCAAAAGAACTTCGTTTGCCAAACAAATTTTGGTGAACATACATCAGTACATGTGTGGATAAGTCCACTTTTTACATAAATGTTACATTGAATCTTATTAGTATTAGGATTTTTCTGCAACATGCCCAAGAAGAAATGTCAACGAAAACTTTTGCTATTGCATCACGTAAATACTTTTGGATATCTATTTTATTTAAATAATTGCATCCTAGTTTCAATTTGTAATTACCCCACAAATCATTTCAAAATATATATCAACTTCCCGATAGTTTTTTAAATTATATTGCAATTAAATTAAGATAATCTAAAAATAATACATGTAGAGGAATATGATAGTTTTTCCTCTCCAACGAACAAACATAAGTTAACATTATTGATACGATATAATTAAAAGTACATCTCAAGCTTTCCTTTATTTATTTTCCCGTCAATCTCAGCCATTCAAGTTACATCTATTCTGATATGTTCACACTACACTAAGTTTTGAAAATGTAAAGAATGTCCACATCCAGAATGTAATCATTAGAGAACTGATAGTCGTCGTAATATTTAATTAATATATACTATCATTTCTATATTTGGTCAACGAGAATTGTTTCTAAAAACTTTCTAAATTCTAGAGACCAAAATCAAATAGAACTGAAAGAACCCTAGTTATTCACCATTAGGCATTTACATTACTCATCCAGTCAACTCTTTTAGATTTTGATTGGTAAACTTACCAAATGGCGAAATGGCATAAATTTTTTAAAGAATAGATTAAGTTATTAATAAGTCACTTTTCTGTAAAATAACTCTTTCTTTATATTTTTTTTAAGCAAAAATGCAATTTACATTTTTGTGTGTATTTTTTTATTCTGCAAATTTTTGTTGATCAACAAAAAATTTGTCAAATTATGTTTACAAATACAAATTTATCATTCTTCAGTTCAGGTTACCAATCAAAACCTTAGTTTTTCAATTAAAAAAAGTTCATTTGTACACTACACAATACTTTTTTTTTGCGTTTTATTAATTTCCTACGAAACTATATATCAATCAGTTAACTGTCTCCGGCAGCTTGATTTGTTCTTTTATTACCAGAAATGAACTACAAAATATACTCATTAAA